GGGGGGTTTGCACTGGTCATGGAATGGAACACCGTCTCCTTTTACACTCTGGCTGTATAAGAGTGTGTCCTTTCTCTTTGTTTCTGCGACCAAACACAGTTTATATTCGATTAATGTGTATGTAATTTTATATTTCCCCCCTAGTCTTCCTCCCTGTATTGTTGACACAGTACTTTTGTGGATTTCTACTATTTATTTACGGAAAAGGAATATTCTTGCCTCTGGCTTCACCATCATTGCTTCCTCCAACTTTGCAAGCATAGACTTCACCCACACCAGGACTTGAATGAGTCTATCCCGCTGCAGATATTGGGGGGGACTTGAAATGGATCCTAAACACCTGAGAAATCATCTGACTCTGTTGCATCACCTGGACCACTTGGGCCTTCTCCTGGATAATTTTCATGCCAAGGGTTCCTGCCCTGGGAGAAGTTGGCAAAGTTGCAGAGCCAGGTTCTGCCAATTCAATCCAATGTCTATCTTCCCTGTGGAGTTCCATGCAAGTACTGGGATTGATAGTATTCACCTTCAAAGCAATTCTGTTTTCTGAGTTCCACTCAAGAACCATGAAATGAACATCCTCATGATCCGGTTATACCCACGAACCAGGATGTCTGTTATGGTAACTTCTGTGCCCAGCGTTTTCGAAGCATAGGTGTTTGTTTCCCTTACATTGGAAGATCGTCACTACAGATGAGTCTTCTGGGTTGAGGCATAGTTGCGGATCTTCTGTCTATTCAGGGTTGTTTGTCTCGCAAAGACTAAAAGCATCCATTCAATGTCCTACAAGAAAAGCTACAAGAAATTTTTTATTTTACTGGACCTTCCTTCTGACCACACATGCAGTCAGGGTTAATTGAGACAGTGCCACAGTCATCGTTTATATCAATCATCAGGGGTGTTTTGGCAGTGTCTGAGGTAGCATATATCCCCCCCTGGGTGGAGCTTTATGTTCCAGTCATTTCCCTGGAACATATTCCTAGGACTACTGGCAGATTTTCTCAGCAAATGATGTCTGGACCCAAAGGAATAGTCGCTCCATTAGGAAGGGTTCTAGTTACATATGTTCGCATTGGGGAATGCTGAATGTGAAGTTGCCAGTGTCTTCTTGCAAACAAACCTGTCCAGCTTCTTGATGAACCATCGGTGACCCAACAAGGGATGCAGCCATTACTTTGGCAGCACCGTGGGATAAGCATACCTTGATCTGTTCTTTTTATATTTTATATTGCATATATCTTTTATAAGTTTGTTTTTTATATTCAAATTGTGAAAAAAGTCCAGTTGCTGTGTGGAAATAGACCATTCATTTTGTGTCTCCATTCATACATATGCAAATATATAAAAAAAAGACTCCACCTAGTGGTCTGGGTATAATGTCAAGCACCCAACAGTACCCTTTCCTATTTCCCATTGTGGCCTCGAAACGCATTCCCATACCAATCCCTACACTTTGTGTGTGTGACGCAGAATAGCTGGAAGTCCTGCAGCGATCCAGCTGGTAGGATGCTCCCTTGTACAGCTGCCTTTATCTATAGCTGAGCTCTTTACCTTCATTGTCGGCTCCTGGATTGTTTAAGCATATAGGCCTTTCCTTCCGCTTTGGCATTAAAATCGAGTGTTGTTGGTGCTACAAAAACTTGTATTTGAACCTATTTATTCTCCTTGAAGATGCTAACCAGCCCCACAGTTTGGACTGGTTTTAGATTCTCCTAGGTGGCTTACTATCAATCTATGTCCCTCACTGGACAATAGAGAAAATTTTTTTGTATTTGCTATAAAATCCTTTTCTCTGAGTCCATTGAAGGACCCAGCTACCTCCCCTCATTTGCTATAGTTCTCTCTTAGGATTGCTTGCCAAAAATAATCAGGTGGAGGAGTAATAACCTCTAGAAGCCTAGCCTTCAGTTTTCTATTGCCTAGTGTCAGTTTTTTTTTCTTTCCTGTGAGCAGTGGTTTATCCCTAAGCTTCTTACTATCAAGTGCCTAGGTTTCTTACAGTGAGTACAAAAGTTAAATTATTGCAACCACATCTTCACTGATATTTTGATTTTTTTTTTTTTACTTCCTTAGCTGCTGTATTTTCATGTTCCGATGAAAACTTAAATGCCAAGGAAAGAACAGAAGTTTGCCTACCGCTTTATAAAAATATGATCCTAATCAATCTTATGCTCGACAGGTAAGAATTGTACACACTATTGTGCAAAGAGTCGTTCTAATAGTACACTTGTTAACATTGCTGGCTTTTTTTTGTTTTTTTTGTTTCTAGGCCTTCTGATGCAGTGAACATGTGCAAACAGCTGCTTGATGGTTGGAGTGATAACTGTGACATCCTAGAGGCTTTATGTTCTGTATATCTTAAAAGTGGGCATCCAGACAATGCCATGGAAGTCTGGATCACTGCATTCAGAAATAATCCTGGAAATGCACAAATATTTTATAATGTCTGCAAATTTTTAGTACACCAGGTAAAACTTTGCACTTTTCGGTTGACAGGTATTTTTTTTACCTATCCAGGTCTGTACTGTGCGAAAAGTATTTGTATCAGAGTTGCAATAGTCCTGCATATTCCAGATACAGATTCTCAGTTCAGTAACTAATGTAACGTGTGTGTGTGTGTGTATATATGTGTA